AAAATCAACGAGAATAGTTGATATTTATTCCGATAGATGGCGCCAGCCATCAGCAACTTTCAGTTGCACGATAAGGAGATGCCTTTTTCTTGAATAAATATTCAATGTTCCAATATTTCTTTCATCAGGAACCTTCCTGGTTACTATAGATCTGATCCCGAAGTTGTTTTGAGCGTACAGCTATTTCGCAATTACACCATTTGTTTTCGATAAAGAATTCGTCGATGTTTTTGAAAAATTAAAGACATTTTGGTAGATCCCAGGTTGTCGTTATAATTCCCTCGTCATTAAAGTTAATTAAAGTCTATTCTATATACAGTCTATTCTAAAAAATATATATATATACAGTTAAACCTGTCTATAGCGCCCCCTCTTGGGACTCACCAAAATAGGGTGCTATAGAGAGGGGGTGCTATAGACAGGTTACTTCTAATGTAAAATGTTTACATTTTAATGTTTATAATTAGGCGCTATTTAGAGGGTGCGCTATAGACAGATTTAACTGTATATAAACAGTATGAACATTATATTGTAACATAGAAAATTAGGAAAGACAAACTTCAGAATGACACGGCAATCTATTTAATATAAAACCAAATTAAAACTAATAAAATAGCAGAAAGGCAATGAGAAAATTTTACAAGGTATCAAAATACAAATATCGAAATTTGAAATATTTTCATAGAATAATAAATACTCTGCTACAATATGTAATCTCTGATATTCAATGGTGACAAATTTATTAAATAAATGGGATAGTGTGAAGTGTGTGTTTTAAAAAATCACTTTCTTTACTAGCTTGACACCCTAATATGATTGAGTGGAGATAAGAAAGAAGAAGAAAAAGAAAAAATCGCTAAAATCAGGTAATCCGAGGTTACGTTGGCACTGGTGCTGGCTGGATATATCCCTCATGCAAACCCTTTCATATTGTTCCCAACAAGAAAAAAAATGCGGCAACGCTACCCACGGAGTTCACGAACTAGGCTGATTGGGCGGCTGCTAACCAATGAGGAGAGGGCATAATGATCGTCTGTTATCTTTCACTCTTTATTTATTTAAAACCTATTTAAGTGCCATGTCATGATGATGGCCATATTTATTTTCTTTGAGGAAGTTTACTGCTGTGCTTTTAAAATTTGTTATATGCAAATATATATATTTTACGTAGAATAAAAAGCACATTCCAGAATAGCATTTTTCAGAAGGTTCAAGAATAATGTAGAAAAAATCAGAGAACAACTGGTTGGCCAATCTAAAGCGATTGCGCAAGGCTTAGTGCTGGCGGCTTTCTGATTGGCTAACCAACCTTGAACGTTCTGGAAAGATCTACTCCGGAATATATAGGGATGAAGAACTCGTGCCGGAAGAAAAAGAACAAAGCTACGTGGTGGACTCCAAGCAAACGCTGCTGTCTCAAGAGGTCGGACTGCTGCTTACCGCCGACGCCAGTGTACTTCCTGGAAGATTCTAGAAGGGTCTACCAACTTCTGTCTCCTGTTCTGCTCCTGCTTTCCTTCACTGTGCTGCAGTTGGGGAGTTTGTAACTGCTGTTTTCTTTGTTTTTGTTGTTTTATTTTGATTTCTTCTGTAATTATTTTATTGATTAGGCTTAAATAAAGTCCTAAAGATC